TTGATTCTCACATGATTCCAGTTCATGTTATAATGTCATTACTCGAAGTCAACCATTTTGATGAGTTGAGACTCATCATTCCCTTGAAATGAATTACATTCATTTCATTGAAAGTAATCTATACACTACAACCTTGACACAATAAAGTGACCAACTTTATTATATGGCTGTGAATAATTTTTAGATTCAATTAGAATACATGTCTCCTATGTATAACTCTTTATACAAATGCATTTTAATATCTCAATAGAATCACAGTATCTTAATAACTAGACAATGAATGCTTACTAAAACAAACTCTTTGTCTTATTATCAAAATGTGTTTTCATTATAAATAAATTTAATAAAATTAAGCATGAGAATATACTTGCTTTCCAAGGCACTATATTTTCAAAATTGCTAACAGTTTGTGTATTTACGTTGGGTTTGATCCACCGTCCATTATTAGGTTCTTGGAACTAATGACACGTGATCTTTTTATCACTAGATTCACGGATTGTCATGTCAACGATATAGTATTTCCATCAATTAGGATACCTACGACTTCCCCAACTTCAGGAATACTGATATTTCCTTTACATATTATAATTTGATTTGGGATCAAAATGAGATAATCATCAATCATGCTTTTGCAGTTGTAGTTGCTCATGATATTATGAACGATGATTATGAACTGCGATCTATTATCGAATGTCAAGAAAAGCAAGATTAGCCCAAATGGGAAGAAGCAATCTAGGCTGAATTGGTTTGCTTACCTAAACAAGAGGTTTTCAAACATGTAGCTTGAACTCTTGACAATGTAAAGCTTGTTGGTTGCAAGTGGGTTTTTGTCCAAAAATAAGATAAAAAAAATGAGGTCGTGAGGTATAAGGTTTGACTTGTAACCAAGGCTTCTTTTAGAGACCTAGGATTAGTTATAATGAGATTTATTTACTTGTGATGGATACGATTACTTTTTGTTTCTTTATTAGCCTAGTTGTTTCTGAAAAACTAGAAATGTGTTTTATGGGCATCGTGACGGTATATTTATATGGTTCAGTAGACTCTAATATTTATATAAAAATTCTTGAGGGGTTCAAAATGCCTAAAGCATACACTCCTTGCAACTTATTCTTAATAAAATTACAAAAATCTTTATACAAATTAAAGTAATCCGGTCACATGTGGTATTAACGCTTAAGCAACTACCTAATTAAGAAAGGGTACAAGAATGAACCTATCTGCCCATGCGTGTTTATTAAGAAATCAAAAACCTGATTTGCTATGGTAGCAATTTTTGTCGATGATGTGAATTTGATTGGAACTCTATAAAAGTCATCTAAAACTACTGAATATTTAAAAAAAGAGTTTGAAGTTAAAGATTTGGGTAAATCCAAACTTTGTCTTGGTCTAAAGCTTTAGTATAAAGCAAATAGAATACTTGTCTATCAATCAACATAGATTGAGAGA